TATCTGTGTTCGGCTGGCTCAGCTGTTCAGGTACTTCTGGGCAGTCATGACGCCAAGAAGAGAATATTATTGGAGCCGACTTCTCCGCACCGGTAAGCCGATGGCCGCCGTATTTGACAGGAATACATTACTGTCTGTGTCTGTGACCCCCGTTCAACCCACAATCGGTGGGATTCGCCTTTCGTTTCTGCTGGTGGTTGAAATCTGTAGGCTGCTCGCACAGAGTGCTGAATGATTTAAGCCTATTTTGCTCGCTCAAAACTATTTTTAGTCGCAAATGCCAGTGCGGTGACGGATGGATCGCCACACTGCCGATATTTTAATCCGCCCGTCACAGCAAGCTGTTTGATTGCGTTATCAAAACCGCACTGCTATTATTTGGCCTTGCTTTTAACTTATTCCACCGAATACCGAATGTGTGTATTTTTGCAATATTCGGCCGAATATATTCGGTTACCGAATATTCGGTGCATCCCTAAAAATTATTCTGGTAGATTCAAGAAAATGAAAAATACTTATGAATTAGGCCCACCAGTTCAATGAACCTCTGTCACTAAAACGCTCCAGCAGTACATTCAGGCAGATATGCTTGTGTATATATGTAGATGTGTACTACTTATCCATGACGATCGAAGCATCACCAAGATCTTCACATCCTAACAGCACACACTCACCAATACCCTCTCTGACACTGTGTGCCTTCATATTACTCCTCCATCCACTCAGCACCCTCTATCCATTGTTAAAGTGTGTGTGGATATGCCTGTTTGTGTGTGTGTGTGTGTGTGTATGAGTGGCTCTCTGCCCTCCTGCGGTGAGTCCCACTGTAAGTGACAGTCAGGACACTAATGGCTTTCACGCAGATTGACTCCAACATACTCACACACACAAAAACCAGCAGCATTTGCACATGAGCATGATGGGAAAAGTGCAGAGATCTATCTTCCTCTGTCCCCTCCCTCTGGAGGTGAAAGGTCAAGTGCAGAGGAATATTCTGCATTGTAAACACACCTGCAGAAGGTCACTGGCTCTATCTTACCCTGTCTCTCTCCCTTTGTCTTTTACACAGATACCACACATGAAATACAAATGAAAAGTTACCTTACTTTGAATTAACGTTAATCTTAACCTGTCCTTTTCAGTGATGATTACACAGTAGATACACACTTTCTCTCTCGTTTAAAAAAACAACACTGACACATAAAGACTGTATGTGTACAGTACACAAATGCTCACACTGTATTTCAGTCAGATTCACACAACTGAGAAACTGTGTGAACTGCCTTTACATATACATTCAATGAGAACACCTGATGTGTCATGCAGCTTTATAAGCCCTGCTATGTGTGTTTGTGTCCCTGCCCACATAGCATAGACCCGAAACTAATATGTGTGTGTGTGTGTGTGTGTGTGTGTGTGTGTGTGTACTTACTCGACCAGAATCGTCCGTGAGTCAAGTGGGGTAAGAGTTGGTGCATGTAGAGGCCCCGGAGGAAGCTGAGAGGTCAGCACAGTAACTTGTGAACTGTTGGTGCAGCCCACTGAAGTGCATGCACTCAGTACCAAGACATGGGTGGAATACACACCAAGACCTGAAACACACACGTGAAACACACGTCAAGTAACAGAGAGGTGTAAAAATAGGTACATACCCAATGATGGCTCAAAACCCTTGAGTTAAATTGTAAACCTAAGTTGCTCTCTAACTTGTTATCATGAGGAGATTTAACTCCCGCCCCCTGAATTCTGTCCTTTTTGTCCCTTTAGCTCTGTTTCTCAATCGTTGTTTCTCTTTCAGTGTCCACCTCTGCCTCAAAACTGCTCTCCATCTGTCTCACTGTGGCAATCTCACTCTCTGCAACACGATTTATTCTTGCACATATTGTATAATTACAACGTCCATAATCCTTCCAATCACTGCGAACATCAGACACTCTGCATTATTAACCCAGCATGGATCATATGTGCTCTCATGCATTCATTAACTTACAAAGACACACACATACACTGTTGGGCAGTGTGATGTTTTGCTACCCATGTGTATGTATGTGTGTATAAAATCAAAACAAGTGATAATCTATTCTGCTCATGTAAAATGCGATATAGGATGACTGTGTGTACATCCTTGCATAATGTATATCTGCATATGTTCAATTCAGAGTGTGTATGTGTGTGTTTGTGCATCTCGTTGTGTGTGTATCTATTCACATCCCAGCGCAGCACTCTAGTCTCAGTGGTGTGACGTGTTTCATACCTTCTTTAAGTCTATTTAATGACAGCTTTCAAAGCAAATTGTGTGTATGCATGTGCAGTAATGTTTAATGTTCTTTGTTTCTCTGCTGCTTCATTATCACGTGTGTGCAAGTGTGTGTGTATGTGTGTGTGTGTGTGTGTGTGTGTGTGTGTGTGTTTAGCACTCTTTTTCAAAGTGCTATTCCCTTGGTAAGGACTGAGATGCTCTTTCCTTTTTCAAATGCTAATCCCCCCACTCCATTTTGCTTTTCTTCGCTCTTCCCCTTCTCTTTACACCGAGGCCTCATCCCTCCACAGTCACATCTACGCTGTGACATGCACGCACACTTTAACACACACAAACACAAGTTCTCTCTCTCCTCTTTACCAGTGATGTTGTGTTGTCTGTCTTTCCCCCTGTAGACCATTTGGTTGTTGTGATAGAGGAGGAACTCTGTAATGTCTCCATTGGGCCTATCATTGGAACAGAAAAAAGTTAAAAGTTAAAGAAGTTGAAGTTAAATGAGGGTAATATTATTATGTTATATTTAACTTATACTATTTTGATGTTAAACTCCCTGTTGTGTTCAATTAGGGCATCTTTATTCAAGGTGAAAAAAACATGTATGCCGAACAAAAGGAGATACAACTTTCATTACAATACAACATTATGTTTGTTTTATGTATGATTCAATTTACTTAAAAACATATCCTCACTTCACGCCTGTCATTCATATTCCCTTTAAGTAGTAGTAAATCAGTGCACTTACTTACTGTAGCGACTTAAAACTTGCAAATAAACAACACAACACAGACCAACAAAATAAGTGTTTTGGATGTGAGAAGGGTAGGTGAGACTGTATTGTGTATCACCTTGCTGGCGGTTCCCAGGTAATATAGAGGGCTGAGGGGGATGAGACTGCAGCTGGAGGAGAGACAGCATCTGGAGCTGAAGTTGTGGGAAAATCAAAAATGTTTGTTTAAAAGGAGAAGGTTAACACAGATATACTGGTTGGTATAAGCAACTGTGAGCGAGTGATACATGTTTTTTCTTTGTTTTTGTTTTTTTAATTTATACCAAAACAGGGAAAACAGTCATTACCTAATAGAAATGCAAAAATACAACATGTATTATCAAAACTAACCTATGACTATATTAAAGGCATGTACATTGAACTCAACAATCACATCAAATGCTACAGATTTAATATGTTCTACATCATGATGCTCGACACTGACACAGCTTCGTACAAGTATTCAAAACACTGCAGAGACTGGAGCAGAAAATGTAAAGAATTTTATGTTCCTTGACCTAATGAAGAAGAGGAAAAATGTGCCTGAGCTCACAGAAAAATGAGTAAAATTGTCTCTACATGGGGTTTTCTGAGTTTGAAAAATAGACTTTGGCAAAACAGAGTTATAAATAAGTTCTTTCTCCAGTCTTCCTAACATGGTTCAGTGTCTTAACTCTGCGCTCAGTGAGAATCAATACAGTAATCTGTTTTTTTTTTCCTTTTACTTCAGATTGATTTTTGCTGTCTCTGCACTGACCCCTGCCGTCACATTATCTCCCCAACAAGGCCAGTTAGTCCAACACAGATTAATGTAGCGACTAACATGAAGAAAAATCTCTCTTTTACTCTTCCACTTCTTCTTTTCTTATACATGTCATCTTCCCTCCATGACCTCCCAGATAGGGAAAATGTTACTCTTTACAATCTGCCTTTCACTCAGTTGTAAAGTGCTTCATTCGCTCTTATCATTTTGTGTTTTGCCCTCTTGAGCCATCTTACTGCTTCGTCTCCCTTTTCTGCTTCTGTTTATTCCATTCTAACTTGTCCCTTCATCTTGTCCCTCTTCTTGGGGGATAAAAATCACTGAGGATACAGGATGAGAGTGTGCTTTAAAGTATGTCTGAGTGTGTCCAGTACAGACACAGTCATACAGGAATGCCACTGGTAAGGGATGGAAAAAGACAAGCTCTGTTCATGGGTTCATGGAGATGTGTGTTTATACAGTGAGTGTGTATGGGCACGAGTGTGTGAGTGTTTATGCTTTACAGCCTTACCTTCCTCCGGGGTTGTGAGGCTTGTCCTCAAATCATTATCATCACCATTGTTGTTATGAAGACTCTCTGTGCAGCCAACAGGACTACAGGCACTTACACTGATAATGTATCGAGTGGCTGGAGTGAGACCCGGCAGCACACCTGGAGAGGAGGAGCACATGAAAACGTCAGACAGGGTGTGAAGCAGTGAGAGCAGGCACAGGGAATTTTGTTCAAAAGAAGACTATCTCTGGAAGACACTCAAACTGCTGAGGCCTCAAATTAGCTTCAGTTAACTTTACAATGCATTTTTGCAACACACTGGCACGGCAGCACTGTTTTATGGTAGACTTTAAAAATATGAACTCACTGCAGAATCTGAATTGAACCTATTCTATCCTGTGTCCACATAACGTTTTGCCAGCACCTTCTTTCAATTGTTCCCAGTGAGGAGAGACTGTAGATGGCCGCATGCGGTTGCCCAAAGAAAAAGAGCCGTGTCCAGCCGCTTTTTAGAGTGCTACAGCTTTTTTGTTAAGGGCGCTGATGTTGTCACCACTGCTCCTTCTCCTGTATATCCCGAGCTGTTGACTATGACATGTCAGTCAGAAACTATCACAACACAAACAGAAAAGCCCATTTGTGAGAGCAGACTAGGCGGACATGGAATGTTGCATGTGAGGGTTGTGCTTTTACTAACATATGGGATGTACGCTTGTTGTTAACTGTGTAGTGAACCCTCTGTTAATCCAGCATTATGTTAGCTACCTAGCTAAAATCATTGTCAAGGTGTTGTTGTCATAAACACACGTCCTAATACTCCTTGGTGCCAATCTCGCCTTATCTGGCTAAATGCCTATAAGCGTCTATTACAACCTGTCATTACTAAAGTATACCTATCCTCTTCAACAGTGCAATTTAAATGCTCTACTTGTTTCTCTGCACCGCTGTTGCTAAGCAAAGTTACTGGGCTTGGCACACACGGAGGGTCTATTCTAATTGTAAAGCTTCAGTTGTCTCTCTCTGATGTTTTTTGTCCTAGCTGTCTGCCCTCACCACTCCTTTCCATATTTCCTAAGTCACTCTTTTACATCCCATCTCTTCTCTTCCACCCCCTCCAACCCTCCTTACTCTCTGTGTCCAGTCACCCTGTACTTGTGTCTCCTCTTTCTCTCTCTGTTACCCATGTCTTTTAATTCAATTAGGGGCCAGGGCCCCACTCCGCTGCCATTACACCCTCATTTGCTTTCTGTGTTTTTTAGCCGTTGGTGTAATTCTGCAGTCAGGTGTCGAGGCCATCATAAATTAACAAGAAGCCTTATCACGGTGGACTTAATGTCTGGCAAAGAGAGAGGGAGGGAATGGGGAGAACCGAGAGAGACACTGAAAGAGACGGAGACAGAGAGCTCATCTTCATATTTGCCTGGAGACATGGCAGAGTGGATGGGAGGAGGGACGAATAGCAGCAGCGGACGCAGACATCATCATCATCATAAAAGATGAAGTGAGGAAAGATCGAAAAGTGAGCAACAGAAAGAGAGAGAGAGAGAGAGAAAAGGAGCGATGCCAGGGTATGACATCACCGGGGTAGTCCTGAGTGTCTTGTTCCAAATGGAGACAGTCTCCTAAAGCTGGGGACTTGCCAAGGAGACATTAACAGGGTTGCCTGGGAGAGTGTGTGCGTGTATGTGGGTGTGTTTGTATGTAAGACAGACGTAAAGTAAATGAAAAAGGCAGTGTGAATGTGCTTTCACTAAGGACTAAAATGCCCTTACAGGTCTGACAAGAAGGTGGCAGGAAACCAGCGACAACAAGTTAACAGGACAATGGCTGCAAGTTAAGTTACATTTATCAGCAATTTGTCAGTAATGTTCACCCAGCTTTTACTGAGCAAAATCCTTTTTTTTGTTCAGTTTGTTGAGACACTCCTACATGTCATTGGAAGCCTGGTTCAGTATCTCAACTAGATGGGACAGGTGAATTGATCATCTTGTTAGATTGCAATGTTGTTCCAGGAGTCCTTGGGCCCTGGCAGTCATGTGGATACCACTTGACATACATCACCAACCCAAACACCGTTGCAGACCAAGTTCACCCCCTCATGGCAGTGCCCCCCCGAGCAGGACAATGCTCAATAACACACAGCAAAAACTGCTAAGGAACAGCCCGAGGTACGTGACAAAGAGTTCAAGGTGTTGGTCTTGCCTCCATTCTCCAGATCCCAATCTGATCAAGCATCTGTGGAATATGCCAGTAATCTCCCTCACAACCAACAGGACTCAAATGATCCACTGCCAACACCCAGACACAACAGGACACCTCCAGAGGTCCTGTGTTAATGCCTCAATAGGTCAGAGCCAAGTTTGACCCAAGAAGGCCCCATTGTGGATCAAGGGTACCTCTGGAGTTCCAGCACGTTCTACGAATGCTCGATCAGATTGGGATCTGGGGAATTCAGAGACCAGGTTGAAGCCTTGAGCTTTCCATCATGTTACTCAGGCCAATCCTCAGCAGTTTTCGCAGTGTGGCATTGCACATTGTCCTCATGGTAGGACCACTGCCACCAGGGGGCGTTTGGGTGGATGGTTCATGTCAAGTAGCATCCACGTGAATGCCAGGACACAAGGGTCAAGGTACATGACAAGGAGCTCAAGGGGTTGGCCTTGCCTCCAAATTCTCCAGATCCCAATCTGATTGAGCATCTGTGGGATGTGCCAGTATCCATCTTCACAACCAGCAGCACTCAAAAGATCCACTGCTAACACAAGACATGACCGGACACCTCCAGAGGTCCTGTGTTAATACCTCAACAGGTCAGACCCAAGTCCGGCCCAAGGAGGCCCCACTGTGGAGCGGGGGTACCTCTGGGGTACTGGCATGTCCCAAGGATGCTCGATCGGATTGGGATGTGATTAATTTAGAGACCAGGATGATGCTTTGCACTTTCTGTCACATTTCTCAGGCCATTCCTCAGCAGTTTTTGCAGTGTTGCATGGTGCATTGTCCTGATGGTAGGACCACTGCCATCAGGGGGTGTTTGGGTGGATGGTTCATGTCAAGTAGCATCCACATGAATGCCAGAACACAAGTGTTGAGGTATGTGACAAAGAGTTCAAGGTGTCAGCATTGCCTTCAAATTCTCCAGATCCCAATCTGATGGAGCATCTGTGGGATGCAGGACAGGACTCAAAGGATCCACCCCCAACAACAGACACAACAGGGCACCTCCAGAGGTCCTGTGTCTATGCCTCAACAGGTCAAAGCCAAGCCTGACCCAAGGAAGCCCTACTCTGGATCTGGGGTACCAGCACATCCCACGGACGCTTGATCGGATTGGGATCTGGGGAATTTAGAGACTAGGATGACGCTTTGAGCTTTCTGTCATATTTCTCAGGCCATTCCTTAGCAGTTTTTGCAGTGCAGAATTGGCACAGTTTCGTGATGATAGGACCATTGCCATCAGGGGGTGCCATTGTCTTGAGGGGGTGCTTGTCACATGAATGCCAGGACACAAGGGTTCTTCAAAGAACATTGCACTGTTACAAGATGATCAGTATTACTAATTCATCTGTCAGTGATTTTAATGCTTTGGCTGATCAGTGTATATATGTAATATATGTACTGCATGTCAAAATATTTTAGAAAATCAAAGTTTGTGTGTGTTTTACCTGTGAAATTTCCATTGGCTAGGTATGTGGCTCTGATAGGTGGTGCTTCCGGCTGATCTCTATTGTAGGCCTTCAACTCATATCGATCAATCAGCCCTCTGATTTCCCCAGTGGGTGGCACCCAGCTCACCTTGGCACTGAATCCATCCAAGCTCTGCACTGTAGTTGGAGGTGGCACAGACCTAGGTACTACAAAGAGAAAGACAGAGGCAACATGTGTCAAGATGAGAGGAGACTGGGAAGAGAAGACAACTGTGGAACAAGATGGTGAAAGAGAAGATAAATATGTAAGCAGCAGAGTACATAAATAAAGAAAACAACCTCATACTACAATTAAACTAAGTAATACATCATAGAGCAAGTAAGATAATCAAAGACAAAAGAGTAAAAGAAAGAAAAATACAAGAAAGAATATAGGTCAGATAAAACAAATGTCAAAACGAAGATGTATCAAATAAAAGCCACAAGGGAAAATATGAAAGAAAAAAGCAAAACAACAGGTCGAGAGCACATGAGGTTAAAGAAAAAGCATCCCCCTTCTCTCTGTGTTTTAATAGGCCCAGTAAATCATACCTCGCCATTAGCATAAATAGTATTTATGAGAGTAGTAACTTTTTCAGCACTGATTTAATACAGCCAGCCATTCATTCTGGGCTATATTTCACAGCAATCAGCCTCCCTCCTTCTCTGTAGCACTCCCCTTCTTTCTCTCTCTGACACCCTCAGTAGTTCAGGATGGTCCAGGTCCTTTCCACCCTCCCTCTCTGTCTGCCTCACAACCATTTTCATTTTCTGTTCTCATCCATCCTTCCATCTTCCTTTGCATCTGTCCCTGTTTCAGCTTACAAATATAATAAATTCCATGCTTACAAATTCATGTTACATCTATCTTTCATATCCTTAATCTCACTCATTCCAGTCCGCTGTGCTTCTTGGTTCTGCGCAGGATTGTACAGTATATTAAGTCATAAAACAGTGCATCACTGACAACCTGCTTCATGCTCTACCTCCAACGACCTTTTTGTTTTTCTTCTGTCAGTCATTAACTTCCTTTTTCCTTAAAACTTTCTCACCTTCGTTCTCCACTTGAGCTTCCAGTTCTTATCAATCCTTTTCTTTCTCCTTTCATTATTCCCTCATCTTGCATCTTTTCTGATCTCCTAACATCCCTTCCCTTCTTACTGTCCAGCCACATCTTTCCTTCTCTTTATTCTGACTCTTCCTACCTCCTCTCTCCTCCCACCTTTCCTCTCAGTACTTTCCTCCTTCCTCCATCCTCCTCCATTTCCCTCAGTTCTTAATGTTTTTAGCACTTCCTCCCTCACTCCTTCATTCCTCTCTCTGGT